GCAATCAATGCTTTGAATATTAGTCAAAGAAAACGTACGAAATAAGTATTCATTAGGATTTTAGAACAGAGAGATGTGGTATGTCTAATAAATGTGTAGGGACATATGTCCGGAGTTTAAGATATAAAAAAGTTAAAAAAAAGAATAAAGATTACAGGTAGGTGAATATTGCAACTTGTCAAATATAGAATTGTCGATTTCGATAGGTACTTTACTAGAATGTACAGCAACTGTGGCAGCTGAAGAATTTGAAACAGAAAATTCAGAAATATCCTATACTAGTTTTTACCCGCCCGTGTGATTGGCGATTATCGCGGTAAAAAGTAGCCTATGCGACTTACTGATAAAGTAGGTGTCCATTGGTGAAAGAATTTTCAAAATCTGTTTAGTGGTTTATTCGTGAAAGCGTAACAAACGAACTCACTTTTACATTTACAATGTAAGTATGGATTCAAATTTGGTGTTCAGTTTCAAATGCTTATGGTGGGGCAAACTCAAATAGTACTTTAGTAAAACGAAACCTCGAAGTTATGTCAGTCTAGACGTGTTAAATTCGTGTTTTTTTTTTTTTACTTCTGTGTTGTTGTTTAGGTATATACACATAAGCCTAGACTTTATCTTTGCGTATATCTTGAGAGACCAGTGACGTCAGGCCTGAATTTCAAGTACTTGATCGATTATTTCTATATGTTATGAATTTTTCAGTCGATAAAGGAATTATAATATAGATATGTAATCTAGGTAATATTTTTTAATTATGTAAATTCTATCAACTACACGTTGTAAACATGTGACAAAAGGGGCGTATTTTTTAAACCATCATTAAATACGTTATTCATAATTAATAGTGTCTCTTTTGCTAACGTTTTTTTTCAATTGATTAGGATTTTTTTGGTCTATTTAGATATGTCAACCCCATTGTATCTTCTAACATGTATAGCTAGCTGACCTGCACAACTTCGTCTGCATCTCGCAAAAGCAAAAGTCAACCCTGTTTTTGCAGCATTTTTCATTAATGACAGCTCCTATTGGTGGCTTGATGGTATATAAAGTAAATGAGCGATCTAAATTTAAAAGAACTTTTCAATGCCAAGTAAAAGTTCCACGGTAAATCTTAACATTATGAAAAACCGTAGAAGTGATTTAAGGCGAGTTGTACCCTTTTTGTGATTTTTACATGTAAATATTCAGAAAAAAATGGATTTTATCTGTCTTAGTTTAGACACGTTCTTCTTTTACTATAGTTTCTACTACAGTATCAGAGATAATAATTTAGTGCAAAGTGATATTACTGGAAGGACAGTGATATTACTGCGTTACAAACATATTCTAATGAGTTTTTAGATATTAGTACTTCATTATCAGCCTACCGCCGTCCACTTCTGAACGAAGGATTTGTACGTAATGTACTCGTATATCAATATAATGTAGACAGATTATAGGTGCAATATAATTTAACTGAACTTGTATGACTTATCACGTAGTTTTAGCATGTAATAGTATTTCTATTACATGCTAAAATTGCGTGAAAACCTGTGAATTATAGCATTAATATTAGATTAATGCTATAATTCACAGGCTTTTAAGAATTTATTTTAAAACTATAAAATTTACCACAAAAATTTAAATGTACAGTGAAAGTGAATGTTTTATCTACAAAAGAAGGTACTCAAATTTAACTTGGCTTTCCTAGATCGCGAATAAGAATTTTTTAAATCTTGTTTTTGTTCTCCTGTAAAGTGTTGATTTTTTACTTGTATCACTTTTCAAAGAAGGCATAAAAATAAATAAATGTAAATATATGCATACATTTTTTTTTAATACATATCAAATAAACTTTGATCAATATAACTATTTATCAATGAATCAAAATTAAAATAAATATCAATAATTCAGATCATCAAACCATTTTATCGATCAACGTCCCAACTCTGTCCCATCACTATGTTTCGGTGCATTCTAAATTTGACCTTAAAATTTGGTGAACTCGAATCGGAATAAATATTCAATAATGCGGAATCTATTAGGGGATAATCTGTGGTACAGATGTACAAATTGCACATCACTGTGAAAACATTGAACCTGAGTTTTTATTGACGTTAAAACAGAATGTTAGAATTTTTTATGAATGATTAACTAGTGACGTCACACGTTATTATCATAAAAACATTTACTTTCAATGCTCAATGTTAAAACAGTCATTAAAAGTAAAGTAATAATAAGGGTTATTATGTTCGGGCACGCCGTCATCGCGGCGGTAAGACCCGTTATGGAGGATTGGCTCGAGAGGCGTCACGGGACCCTCTCATACCGATTGACGCAGGTGATCACTGGGAAGGGATGTTTGGGGATCACCTGTGTCTGATACGCAAGGAGCCAACGCCTGAGTGCCACCACTGCGATGGCCAGACCGTGGACACGGCTCTCCACACGCTGGCAGAGTGCCCGGCGTGGGTTGAGCAGAGGCGAGACCTCGTGGCGGCCATCGGAGTGGGAGTTCTCTCGCTCGATAGCCTGATTGCGGCTATCGTGCGGAGCGAGAGTGCGTGGAACTCTGCCGTCTCCTTCTGCGAGCAAGTTATGCTCGCTAAGGAGACGGCGGAGCGGGACCGGGAGAGGTTTAGGACTCTCCCGGCCCGCCAGGCCCGGGAACGGGCCAGGTACCGCAGGCGACTCAGGCGCCGGAGGTCGCAGAACGACCTCCGTCCTCCATAAGCGCAGGCCTGGGGGTGACAGGTGAGGCCATCTGTCACCCTAGCAGAAGCAGGCCGGGGTGGCGGCGAGCGCGTTGCGAAGCGCGCTCGCTTCCAGGGAGCACAGGGAACATGGGGTTCCCACACGGGGGGGGTCGTCTACTCGTCTGTAGATGACCCGAGGTATGTCGGGGCACCAGGGACTTCTTTTCTAGGGTATACCTGGTTCCCCGGCTATTAGTACCCGCCGACGGCGTGCGGTTTTAGTCGGTTCGAGTCCGACATGCCACCGACAGGTGGTATCCGAGGGGATTTCCGCACGGAAAAAAAAAAAAAAAAGGGTTATTATGTTCGGTTAGTCGGTAGTCAATTCGAGATATTTTCCAAGATTTGATAATACAATATTTTTTCAGTAAGGTTTAGCAATAGCCCTAGTCCATTAGGTATTTATTACATTTTTTTTCATAACTCAATTTCGTTGTTGTTGTCTTTTTTTGTCAAATATATTTTATTAATTTAGGTTCTAGGTATAATATATGTTAAGAGGTCAAATCTGGGATACTATGGATCTAGATAATACGGTAAATTTGAGCTGACGCGCTGTCTAGACTTAACAATCTAAGTCGTCGCAGCATAACAAATGTTCATTAAAACTAAATAGTTTAGATAAATAAAACATAATACGTAGATAAGACGTAGGTATGGTATCTAGGTATTCACTTTGCTTACTTTATGACTGCATTTTTAAATAACATTCCAAAATAACTACAATTAAATCAGTTTATCAATGTTGGCTTCACAAAGTATTAATTAATAGTTATGAAAAAGCAAGTTTTAAATTACTTCAATTTAGTGCGATTCACTGACCCTATTTTGTACCATTAAGGTGGTTAACTATGATACAATAAGGCTTACGGTAAGAGTCGCTTGCCTCACTCAAGGGATACTTGCAACTCACAGTTATCACTCAAATATTTTTTACGTCTTTTTATCGGTAACAAACTACGATATTGTTATTTTTTTATTACATTCTCAACTGTTCCGTACCTGATCCGATACGGAAATACCAGTATCGGATCTAAAACCATCTAATCTTTATAAGCAACGACCTTTGCACAGTCTTTTTATTGAGAACATTCAATTCACATTAAACGCTCTTGAAGACCAGCTATCACTTGTAGTTGTACTTGTGCCAGTAACTTCTTATCTCGTAGGTATATCAAGTTTGCAAGCACTCGTGCTAGACACTAGAACCGGTTCCACACTATTACCTATTACGTTGATTTATTTACAAGAAACGGCGATATGGTACCATAGCCTATTGGCCGGATGGTGGTGCTACTCCGTTTATGGCCCAACTACTTTTTTTATTCAAGTTGCGTTTGGGATCATCCAACCGTAAGACCAAAGAATAAAATTTCATACATGACTTTTCTGCAAGTACTTGTACTCTAATACAATATTTAATATGATATTCTCCCAAACTCAACCATTCTTCATACAGTTTAAAAAAATGTAAACAGTATCAAAACAAGGGTGATTCTGGATATAGCTCTTACATTTGATTTGATTTAAAAGTTGATCAAACACATAATTAAATAATACAGAATTAGTTTATGAATGAATGAATGAATTTAAGAATTAATTATATCTTAAAATCTTTCGATTGCAAAATGATTATGATGATTATGAAATAAAACGCAAAGACAATTATGCTCAAGCAGGACAATTATCCCCTCAATGTTTCTTATTATTAATATTTAAATAATATTTTTATTTACATATCAAGTCAATAAAATATCCGAACGAGTTGATAAACACCATTTACATAAGTAAAGGACGTGCCAACGTAGTGTAGTCATTAATTGTTATCAATTTCAATGCCATCTTCAACCTTACATCGTAATCATGACTCACAACTTACCTTCTTTAAACTGATGATTTCTTGCTCTCGTCGCATGATGACCATACTGATTAATGTCCCTTACTATAAATATATCATGTCCTTAATCACTTAATAAATACAAACATCTAAGTAAATAGAGACTCATAACAACTGACTATAAAGTTCAAAGTAGCTGGCACAGCGTCGCCAATAATGGTGCAACTAAAGAAAATAGTCACCTAAAACTGTGTTATTTAAATGCCTTCATAGTAATAATAACTGCAACCTATTTTGTGCTGAATGACAACATGAGAGAGTTCAATTTGCTATATCTAGCAATACGACAATCACGAGTTAAGGCTGAGTTAAAAACAGCTGGAATATATATTGTAATATCTAATCTATTTCTCTTTTGTCCACAGTCCGGTAAATATGGCGAGGGATTTATCGGTTCATCGCGAGGTCTGGCGGTCCACGTACGAGCTAAGGGTGTGGGCGGAGAGCGTGACCATACAGGCTGCACCTGGCCTTTGCTGTCAGTAGCCGCTCCCAATGATCCATTACCCACCGAGAGGTGGATAGCCGTCATCAGACGGGGTAGCTGTAACTTTGAAATTAAGGTAATTCATATTTTCTTTAAATTCTACCGGATTTGCTTTCTGCTTGCAAAGGATTTTGCATTTCCATTTCAGTGTTATCCGCCTTAAATATCGACAATGGCAACTGCAAGCCCTTTATGATATGTTTTAAATTCCTTCAAACCAACTAAATCATATACCTTTTTTTGTGTTTATGCAATCGGGACATTTTGTCCCATCTTGCCGGTTGATTTGTTTGTTCGTGAAGTCTCTATTAAGCTGTCCTCTGCCTGTGGGCAGAGGACAGCTTAATAGAGAGGCGCATGGTAGGAGCTGGATGCGAGAAGCCCAAAAGCGACCTAAGTGGCGTGCAATGCGAGAGGTCTATGTCCAGCAGTGGACTGCGATAGGCTGATGATGATAGTTCTGTAGATTGAGCTTGTTAGCAACACTTATTTTGATTGTAATTCAATTAGAGCAATTTTATACACACTGTGGTGTGTATATATAGGTACGCTGCTCGATTAATTGTGAAACCTTTAATGCATTATATTATGCATTGCATTCTAATGGATTCAATTTGTATGATGTTAAACAATTTATTGTGGGTAACAATACATATATAATTAAAAATAAATTGTTATTCAAAATAGACGGATAGTGGATAGACACTACATAAATAAAGCGGTCTGACCGCATGACGTCATCGTGTTGTCATACTGTTTATATTCAATCTGTAATTTTATTGATTTTGCTAGACAGATTATTTTAATATTCTCAAAAGGTTTCTAAAAATCAATATTAAATATCGATTAAAGATAAAAAGTGATTTATTACTCTAAAATTGTATTAGACCTATTTATCGACTACATGACCAGCTGAATCTGAAATAAAGAAATGATATTAAATACTTTGAATAGTTCTTCCGGATTAGAAAGCTGAAGTGGCAGTGGGCTGGCCATATTAGCCGCAGAACCCACAACCGTTGGGGAAAACGAGTTCTTGACTGGAGACCGCGTCTCGGCAAAAATAGTGCAGGACGCCCACAGGCCAGGTGGAGTGACGATTTGCGCATGGTAGGAGCTGGATGCGAGAAGCCCAAAAGCGACCTAAGTGGCGTGCAATGCGAGAGGTCTATGTCCAGCAGTGGACTGCGATAGGCTGATGATGATAGTTCTGTAGATTGAGCTTGTTAGCAACACTTATTTTGATTGTAATTCAATTAGAGCAATTTTGCAGCAACAAAGTATGGACTTTATTTATTTAAAGGATTTATTTTTCTCAGTTTAAATAAGATGGCCTATTTAAACTGAGAAAAATAAATCCTTTTGAAAAAAAAGTTGAACCGACTTCAAACAATACTGACAAAGAGCACTAAAAATTTAAAAATAATTACAAATCGAAGTAAAAAATCTATAATAAGTACCCTCAATATAACAGGCAACATTATAATAGCAATAGTCCCTTCTAGTCTGTTTGAAGTCGGTGCCAAGTTGGTAGAATGTAGCGCGGCAGCTGCAACAGTCTTCATGCTGCTCAAAACATGTTGAACGAGCTAAAGTGAGTTACGCACATATCCAATGATATTATTATTTTGAATGCTTTATTAAGTAGTTGGTAAGTTTTGGCACGTAATTGATCTGGTTGGTCTTTATTAATTTAAAAAATCTGCGATGTTTCATTTGAATTATATTGAATTCTTTATTTTTTATTGTGCTAATGTAAAGGTGACATAGACCAGTATTACTTATCGGGCTTGGCACTGACTTCAAACAGACCAAACTAATAGTACCAAACTGTAGTATGTTAGATTATATTAAATATAGTTTAATAAGTCCGTTGCTTCATTTAGATAATGTAGTAAGATGTTACATTTGAACCCGAAAATATATTGTTTTTGTCACATTACTTAATTTTACAAAACTAGGAGTGGTATTTTTTCTTCACATTGGAACTAAAGGGGAAACATATCCTTCCAAACAAAAAAATATTTTTTGTAATCAGTTTACAAATGAAAAAGTTTTGAGGTAACAAACATGAAAATAATTGCGTAACACACTATTTTTTGTCTGACTTGGTGACTGACTGACTGATTTGGTGGTAATGGGACCGCTTCGAGAGCATACCCTTTCGATTACAAAAATAATTTTGCAAATCGGTCCACAATTGACGGAGATATCGCGGAACAAACATAAAAAAAACAGACGAATTGATAACCTTTTGTTTTTGAAGTCGGTTAATAAAAAAATAGCACTTTGTTTTTAAAATTCAAAAGATCAAACAGACTGTGTACTCACTGTGGTTTGTTCACAGATAAGATTTTTTGTTATAACAATTCCGTGTGCAAAAAAAAAACAGTTTAGGTTCAACCGAATAACGTGAATGGCCTGTTATGTTCATTCTTCATTGCATTAATATATAATCAATAATAATAACCTCACACGTCTCACAAACGGCTGTCTGATCCCAAACTAGGCAGAGCCTGTACCATAGTAACCAGAATGCTGATAAACGTAGTTAAATATTTCTAAATACACACATGTTAAAGATAAATTACACCCAGACACAGAATAAATGATCGTACTCATTACACAAATATTTGTCCTAGTTGGGAATCGGTACCCACGAGCTCCGGCTTAGCAGTCGGGGTCACTAACCACTAGACAATCAATGTTTTCCTTCTCTAACTATCAAAATAGAATAAGCACATTACCTCAAAAAAAATTTAAACTATCAGCAATGCTATAAATATGGAACTTTTTATACTGTTACAATTAAAAATATGCAGTCTCCAATCATGACGAACGAGTATCAAATTGAATATAATACGAGTACGAGTATCAATTTGAATATATGTACTACGTTAATATTAAACATCTCCTATGCAAATACAATGGGAGATGCCTATGTCAAGCAGTGGTCTGCGATAGGCTGATAATGATGATGCAAATACAGTTAGGAACTGACGAACTTGAATCTCTCGGTTGCTCTACTCCGTATTAATTGACCAAAGCACAAAGTTGATCATGTAACCTACTTTAATAATTTTCTTGCATTCAATATTGCTGCTCTAAATGATGATTGAGGTTATTTTATATTTTATGTGAATTATATACATTTAGTTTTGTCAAGCGTTTAAATATTAGATATTGAGTCCAAAAATATACGCACATTCAAAGGATTGCGGAAGCCAATCTCACGGGAGGGTACGTATTAAAGCCGAAATTTTCTACAAAAGGGGAACATTACTTTATTAATGTAATTAACTTTGACGACTCATCTTTTACGGCCGTTCGACGGTAGATAGAAATATTTGGACCACAAAGTGAGTCTTTCAGTTCAAAGGATGTTATGGCAATTAAAACTACTTATAGTAAACGGTTTGCAAATACCTTTTTGAAATACATTATTATTATTATTATGTTTAATATATGTATGACGAACCGAACTATTGTATCAATGTTTTGTTTTTCAATTATCAAGTTTCCTTTCATTTAATTAATTTGCATTAATATACCCTTTGGGTTATTCCTCTTTATAGTGGATTAGCTGTGTTAGGAGGAAACATCATTTATATGTTTCTATTTTGTAATCCATAAAAATAGTAAATTTAATAAGAATACAGTACTTCCTTATTAGTGCTTTACCAGCTTTTACCAGCGGTTTCCCTTGGGTCTTAGTAGTAGTATTATCATTATATTGGTCGATAGTTTCTGGTTCTGGTTCTGTACATGTTGAAGCCAAATTCATTAATTCGGTGTTCGGCTGCATTTTACATCACTATTTACAATGGGTTCTCTGTCACATTTTGGAATTGGACCCGTCACGGGTCTGGTTTCAAAAGATATTCCTTCCAAGGATGTTTTTTTTTGTTAAGTGATCTACAGACTCTAGTGAGTAGAGAAAACTGTTAGCCCCCGATTTGAGCAAAGGAGTCGGGCGTCAGAAGCTCTATACATGTGCGATGACACTTGTACCTCAATACGTTACCGCAGTAGTAGGTAGCTTACCTACTACCGTCGTAACATAAATCGGGAATAATGCCCATTGACACTAGCATTGCTGCAACGCTTTGTCAGACTTTGCAGCCTATTTGGGATTAGCCATAAATATAACAAATATAAGAGGCAGCGGAAAGTAAAAGATAGAGGCCCCACTTCTATAGTACTAAGTACCTTTTTAAATAATAACAAAATGCTACTAGCATTTAAAATAGACTTGAGAATTACGGTGCGTAAGACTACAGATCCTAGGGTCTACCTAGGATCTGTAGTCTACGCACCGCAGGCTAATTTTTTTATAATATATAATGTACAAGTTGTTTGTTAAGTATGTGGTAGTTACTACAGAAAAGCTCAAGATGAAACATGATTATAAACAACTTTTAAAAGGAGAAATTCTATAAATACAAGATAAATCCTTAAAAGAATAGTTGAACCGACTCCAAAATTACTAACAAAAGGACTAACAACCTGGCAGCAATCGCAGTTCATTTCTGTTCTGTTGTCTCTCCATCTCGTCATCAGATCTACAGCCTTGGCCAAAAGTATTAGGCACCCTACATTTTACTTAAATTTTACATTATGCTTTTTGAATTGAATTGAATTATTACCATTAAATTACACAAAAAAGAATGAATAAAACTTAAAATCTAGTCGGTCCACCTTTGGATTTAATTACTGCACTAATTCTAGCTGGCATGCTGCGTACAAGCTTAGTACAATCCTCCCTTGTAATGGCATGCCATTCTTGTACTAACGCATTTTTTAATGCTGTTTTCGATGTGATACTATGCTCTTTAATCTTGCGCTTCAAAATGCTCCAAATATGTTCAATTGGGTTCAAATCTGGTGACTGCGCTGGCCAATCAAACAAGTCAATGTTGTTTTCAGTAAACCAACAAGGTGCATTATCTTGCTGGAATATAACTCCCTCTAAGTTGGTATTGCCGAAAATACTCGTTAGCGAAGGCATAAGCGCAGTTTTAAGCACTTTTATGTACTTTTCGCTGTTCATACGACCTTCGCAAACAAACATTTAGCCAACCCCATCATTAGATATGCAGCCCCAGATCATTATGCTGCCTCCTCCATGCTTTACTGTCGGTACGACGCAATCTGGATGGTATTCTTCGCCCACACGTCGCTTCACGAAGGTCACAACTGCCGTTCCAAATATCTGTTGAAAAAAGAAAAAAAACACCTTTTTTTAAACAGCCTTAACTTTTATTACTTTAGTTAAATAAATAACTGACCATGATTATTAATAACAAAAGCAGTAAAATTTACTTACCTCAAAGTTAGATTCGTCAGACCATACCACATTGGCCCAATCTTCCTCAGTAAAATGTTGATGCCGTAGAGCCCATTCAAATCGTTTTCTTTTGTTAGCTTCTGAAAGCCAGGGCTTCTTCCTGGCTTTGCATCCTTTTAAGCCTGCTTCTCCAAGTCTTCTTCTGGAGGTCCGAGCACTTATTGGCTTTCCAGCCTCTTCGGACAAAGTAGCAGCAAGCTCTGATGATGTTTTCTTCCGATTTTTCATAGATTCGCGTATTAATTTTCTGTCTTCGCGCTTCGAAGTCACACGTTTTCTGCCTGTTCTTGGTTTATTAGCGTGACTGCCAGTCTCAGCAAACCGTTTGATAGTAGATTGCCCAGCGCAACGCGAACATTTCAATAACTTAGCAATTTCTTTTTGCGACTTCTTCATGGAAAGTTGTATTACTACTCGGTTTTCCAAACTAATTTCACTTCTTTTCGGCATGTTAGAAATAATAGCTTGTTTACTCGTTAGAGTCCTGAACACAAGTGACCAAACATTGACTGATAAGAACGCATAAAAACCAATCCTTTGTTTTCAGTCACCAGGTGTTTTATGACCTTAACAGATAGCTGCTTGCTTTTTCAGAAAGTTATTTGTAACTCCGGCATGCCATCTAAAATAAGCATTTATTCATTGTTCAATCAGTAAACATGAATTGTGCATTTTTCTGGGGTGCCTAATACTTTTGGCCAAGGCTGTATATTAAATTTAAATGGGACCATTTCGGAAGAAACACCTTTCGAATAAAAAATAATTTTGCAAATCCGGCTATATATGATGCGGCTATTAAAAAAAAAACAATCGATTTGATAACCTCCTTCTTTTTGAAGTCTATTAATTAGCAAAAAAGAAATCGAATAAAAAATAATGTTGAAGCATAGCCCGGCGTGCAATAATGAGATTATAACGGTTAAAGTCCCGTCTATTCCTTTAGTTTATTTCCTTCTGTGACGCACGTAGCACGCCACAAATAATTTATTAGAGTTTCGAGCTCCTTGGTGCATGTGTCTGTTAATTTTCTTAATAAATTCTGTACAACGCTTTAGTGCAGTTTATTAAGACAAGATTTGTTACCGTGGACCAATTCTGAGTGGACGGACCTGTGATATTTTCTAATAGCAAGAAATTATTCAGACTTCTGCAGTGATAACTCATAGTGTTAACTGAGTAAAATGCATGTAAGTTATCGATTCCTAGCTGAAATATAATATATTGTAAAGAATTTACTAAAGATCCAGTTTGCTTTACGATATAAAGTAATAATCAATCGAAATCAAGTAATCAATTTAAGGTAACATTTTGTTTTAGTTTAAATCTCATTAAAGTGTCAGGGGAAACTGGGATTGAGTACGCACAGACCTACTTAGCTTCATCATCATCATCATCAACAGCCTTTAACAGTCCACTGCTGGACATAAGCTTCTCTTCTTTAGAATGGAGGTTATGGCTTATTTTACTTTAACTTACTAGGTTTAACACTTTAGTTCTATCTTAATGACAACTTGATCGAGAATTATCAATAAAAGGTCGCAATCTTTCATAGAAGTCATGATAGGTAGTGTTAGGACAAAAGTGGAATCAGTCAAATATAAAATCTTTAATCATATCTTAGGTGATGTAGTCTTTTGAACAATGAAAGCATAGTCATGCCAAATAGAAAAAAAATGTTTTGTTGAAATTAAATGGGATGTGTCTTCAATGCATTTAAGATCTTAGTATCTTTTAAAAAGCAAATAAGGGTATTGCATGGTTTAACTGCCTTTTTCCTGTTTGTTTGAGTATCACTTGTGCATTTTTAGCCAAACTATTTTAAAGTTCGGCTTTAAATTTAAGACAACCAATCGGAGCTATAGATACAACTTGATCTCCATTTCAACCGAGATCCATTGAACCAGATTTACGGGCAAACGAAGTTTAAATAAATATACCACAGTTCAGATCTTTTACAGACCGCGTACGCAAAGTTTTTTTTTAGAAGGTTTAAATCTTTACTTCGGAAAGTTAAGAATAACTGTCTGACCCGATACTAGGCAGAGCCTGTACTATGGTAACCAGACTGCTGATAAATATACTAAATACATACATATTAAATATAAAATAACCCAGACCCAGAACAAATGATTGTCTTTGGTGAAAATCGAACCTCGACCTCTGTCTTAGTAATCACGAAAACCATTAGACCAACAGGCTAGTCATTAGTCGTTGAAACATTATCTATTACCATATCATAGGATCACTCACATCACATCATTAACAGCCTTTAATAGTCCACTGCTGGACATAGGCCTCTCCTAAGAAAGGAGGTTCACCCATCACAATAAAAATACCTAATAAGGATTACTATCTCAATTTAACTTTTTACAACTACTGTTTTCTACAACCGGGTTCACCGTGAAGTGGCATGTCAGAATCGAACCTACTGAATCTTATGGGGTTCCGTCACATGTGAGTCTTTTGCAAGGGACTTGTGTATAACCACCACAACCACGACAATTAATAAAAAGCGACCTATTTATTACTTTAATGTTAGGTAGAATATTAATACATTTAAAAAGAAACTTTATGACGCCTGTTACAATTTTAGTCCCTTAAAACTGTTACGCATCACAATAATACTTAATTGTTCTGTCTCTTTTCCTCAATAAAACAGAGAGCCTGTTGATTTATCACATGTTTTGTCCCTTTGAGCGATGACTCATCCTGTTATTGTCATTAATAATTACATATAGGTTATTTAAATTTCAGGTGCAAAACGCCTGGCGCTCGAATGCGTCCGCGGTGCTGATATACAACGACAGGGATACTACGCTTTTGGAAAAAATGAAGTTATCGACTGACAATGGCCGTAAGTTTACATTTATATTGTCCGAAGTTGCCTCAGTTTGTTGTTATAAGCTACTACCTAATGCGTCGGCCAATTTCGTGCGGTGTTCCACAGGGGTCTGTTCTTGGACCTCTCCGGTGGAGCATAGGGTACGACTGGGCACTTCGGGATGTTTTCCGTTCGGACTGGGCGTACTTCGTGGGTTGAACTTTTAAGAGGCAGCGCGCCTGGCCACCAGGGGAGTCTCTCTGGTGGTCAGACGCATCGAGGCGATGGGCTTACAGGTGGCCCTAGATAAGACGGAGTCCCTTTTATTCCACCATTCTAAATAGAGAGTTTTAATGAAGATGGTGCCCGCGCTTAGCGAGCAGGCGCTAGGAAGGGTCCGGATATCGTAATAATTGCTGTTCCCGGATCCCTCGTTTTTCAGACGCAGAGTGGCACGTCGTGTGGTTTTAGTCGGTTCGATTCCAACAGACCGCCCCGCCGCAAACCGCCGGTGGGGTGGTCTGTTGGAACCGGTGGGGTAACGGCCCGAGGGGGTTTCCACACGTAAAAAAAAAAGTTGAATAGATATGTATAAAGTTATCTTATAAATTTACATAAAGTCACTCTTAAATTCCTTTAATTGAAGTGGACTAACGCTAAATAGTAATTCACTACTATCCTTATTAGATTACATAATCCAATCACTTCGTTTTATCATATACTACACTATCGTAATTCACCACACGAGAATGACGTATGTCAAAAACAGAATATTCTCCATCAAGCATCAGCTTAATATCGCTTCGGGCGTATAATTAATAAAATAAATTAATTACATTTTCTTTAAACTTGCCATCACTTTGATCAGTCTGTTGAAAGAGGATAATTTTGTTATCATTAATTGGAGCCTGCAAAAGGCTCTTGTTAATGATAAAATTCAAAAGTTTTCTTTTCTGTATTTTTATGAAAGCATTTATCCAAAGAAGGAAATGTTGGCTCTGTGATACGATATTATGGATATCGTCAAGGCTAATTACTTAGTCTTTTTAGAATCATTAATTTTCTTAAGAAGTACCTACCATTGCATGTATACATAGCTTATCTTACAATAACAGTAAAATAATAACTACATACCCTGACTAATCCCTAACTAGGCTGAGTCTGTACTATGGTAACCAGACGGCTGATACTTTCCTTCTTAAATACATGCAAATTATAGATACCTAACTACGACCAGACACAGAACAAAAGATCTGGTGCTCATCACACAACGTTTGTCATGGGTGGCAACTGAACCTACGAGCACTGGCTTAGCAGCCAGGACCTCTAATCGTAAAACGTTCGATATGAGCCTTCGATAAACAGCTTTAACAATGAAGTACTCACCGTATCGTCACAGTTCTTTGATAAACAAATATTTAAATGTGATAAAGCCAGACTTAATTTATTAAATGTACTAACAATTTATGCTTCTTACTTTATTTATTTATGCGGAAGAATACCTTTTTTGTTGTTCTTTCTATATTAATTGTTCACGTATGCGGCACGTGCGCCTACCGCAGAACTTTTACAGGATCTTTGTATTTCTCAAGGAGAACGTGTATAGCCGTTTAGCATCTCGCCATTTTCTTGTTGTTTATTTATTGAATAAAACTCGGTTCTCGCAGATTCACCTGGGATTATATCTCTGCTCTATTTCCAAAGGTCTTAGCGTGATGTTACTTAGCCTCAATAAGGACTATATCAAAATAAAAAAGAATTATGCAAAACTCTGGTTTAAAGAAACAAAAACAACAAAACAAAAAAAGTGAAGTTTGCTCCCTTAGTCGGCTCTCACGACACCCACGGGATGAATGGGTAGTGACACTCCGTATTCTTAACCCGTGACCACACGGATACGCCTAGCTAATTAGTATCAGGAGGAAAATAGATAAAAAATCGTCTACATAGTCACATTTGAAAGACGATTTCGACAACACTCATATCATATCAAGCTATCTATAATTTTAATATCATTTTTAAGAGGTTTTCACTGTTACTTTACCTACCGAGGTAGAACTCTTTAGAAGAACTAAAATAACAGTGATAGCGTTATACTTATTAGTTCTTCTAGTGCCAATATTTGTTTTATGACAACATCGGCCTCGTTTAACTTCTGTCACGTTTCTTGAAATAAACAAACAACAATATTGAATATACATACGTACATTTCCCTTAAAACTTTGTTAGTCATTTCTTTACAAGAAATTATTTACCAATGATTCAAAGAAAATAGAGTTTCATGTTCACACGTACGCCTGTTGATTTCACTTGTATCTATTTGTTAATAGATTATTATGTATTTGAGTTTCTGTTTACAGCTTTGGTAGGCGTCAAAACAAATATTGTCTGGCTAGTCTTTCAACATTGTTGTTCGTGTAGTATCTAACCCATATCAGCTATTGTCGGGGCATTCTTATTTGAAAGAAAGTAAGTAAATATTTTAAGAACCTTCAGAAGGGTTTGTGTTGTTTATGAGTACAAACGAATTAACATTTTATATCTTAAAATATGTTTTTTTTTTCTTTCTTTATACCATCTGTTAACGAATGCATTCCCAAGGTGTCAGGTAAGCGGTCTGCCATATTAACCCCAAAAAAAACCAAATGAAAATGATAATTGTTGAAAAACGAGCAAATCATTAAAAATTTAGCAATTATTATGTTTCGAAACATAAAAGCAATCAATTAATCTATGATGATGATATACGGTGGATGCATAACTTTGTTAGGTACAATTTAAATTCTTGACTTTCAATATCTTCAAACCACTTATTCGTCTATTCAGGTAGGTGCTTATTGCAATTTCCCATTTAGTAGGTTAGGTCATGCTCATCTGATTTTAAAAATATACACGTCACATATATAGACCATGTGTATATTGATTTTTCATTTATACTCGAGACCTACGTCTGAATATAAATTAAACAAAGCGAGTTGGTTACGTTCGTAAGTACAATATTATGGTATGGCAGGCTGACAAGGCCGCCCGGTCAAGCTGCGCCATTGTTTAACGGTGCCATTCGCATCTGATTCTCAATACGTGCCGATCAATGCCAATAATTTCATTTTAGTACATCCACCCACTGTTCGTACTTTGTTCACCGTATTTATTGCAAATACGTTCATATGACCAACGTAAACCCACGCTCGCAAAAGCATCGTGTAATTAAACTCAAGAACGAATATCTAGCTAGCTAGCTCAGGAGGACTAATGATAATATTGTGATTTAATTTTTATTATATTTCAATATTGTTTACGTAAATTACCGTTAGGGGTAGTTATTTCTCGCTGGCAGAATGTCCGGCGTGGTTGGAGCAGAGGCGTTGCCTCGTGGCGGTCATCTGAATGGGAATTCTCTCGGTAACATGATTGCCGCCATGGTACGGAGGGAGAGTGATTGGAACTCCGCCGTCTCCTTCTGCCAGCAAGTTATGTCTGCAAAAGAGATGACGGAGCGAGACCGGGAGAGGTTTAGAACCCAAGCGGCCCGCCAGGCCCGGGAACGGGGCTGTGGGGTTCCCACGCAGGAGGGGGTCATCTACACGCTGTAGATGGCCCGAGCTACGTTGGGGTATTAGGGATTTCCTTCCTAGGGTACACCTGGTTCCCCGGCAACTGGTACCCGAGACGGCCTGCGGTTTTTGGTCGGTTCGAGTCCGATAGAATCACTGGTGGGTGGTATCCGAGGGGATTTTTAGCACAGAAACAAAAGGGGCTAGTCATTTCTAAGGTTTAAAGTATTCTGGCAGTTTTGAGTGTTTGTATCCGCTTACGCAAATGTCTGCGTCGGCGAAGCAGTTTAAGCCGTGTAGCAGAGCTCCTGTGGATTTCTTGTCAACTGGGTGTCCTGACTGGTCAACCCAAACCTATAGTGATTCTTTTATATAAAGACCAACTCCTTATAGTGCTGTTACACATTTTCTGATTTGTGTATGCGATAAAAGAAGATGCACATAATATACACCCACTAGTTTAACGAGAACTAATTTACGTTCAAAAGTGTCTGAAATACTGGGTCTACCAATAGGGATGACCTGGTTTTGACAGCTCATAGCGGCCATGTTTGATGATGGATCTTTGACGTCTCTTGACATTTGTGTTCAATGGGGTTTGCCATTTTATCATGTCACGTTTCACTTTAAACCAACGCTTGGAAATTGTCCAAAATTATTACGCAAATTCGCGTTCTCCTACCGCTACAGTAAGAGTGCTTCGCGCAAAAAACGGTCGTCATAGTGCTCCTTCTGTGCGCGCTATAAATCGCATAATAACAAAATTTGAAAGTGAATTCACTCTCCACTATACTGCTGTGCCTGTGAGACAAAGAAATGCCCGTAGTGAAGAGAATATCGCAGCCGTTCAGGCCAGTGTTGATGCGAATTCAAATCGATCAGTTCAACGCCGTTCACAAGAGTTGGGGCTCTCTCCAATGACCACCTGGCGTATTTTGCGGCTGGTTTTGGCCTACACCCATACAAAATTGTTTTGGCACAAGAATTGAAGCCATCCGACCATTGTATCCGTCGTGAATTTGCCGATTATGCACTGGATATTATGGAAGCCGATGATTTCATCGTAAAATCATCTTCCCAGATGAGGCCCATTTCTGGCTCAATGGATTTGTTAATAAACAAAATTGTCGCTATTGGAGTGAGTCAAATCCACGTGTGGTTCAGGAATCACCATTGCACCCTCAAAAAATAACAGTTAGGTGCGGTTTATAATACGGTGGAATCATTGGTCCGTACTTCTTTGAAAGTGACGAAGGGAACCCTGTTACTGTGAATGGCGAGCGCGTTCTTATTGGTAGACCCCATATGTTATGATTAAAACGCCTATCATTCATTCATTATTGGTAATGCGAGCCACGTTATTAGAAGACATCGCAAAATAATAAACTACACAGGGACAAAGACAGGCTTATAGAGTGTGATGACTTATGAATCACAGTTGGTGAACCGCAGAATGTAAGGTAAGCTAAGTAACAACAC